GGGGCATGGGAAGGCAGGCGCGGGCCAGCAGTCCTGATGCCACGATTGGCCCCCCCCCCCCCCCCTCCCCCCTCACACACACACAGATGGCCCAGCCTTTCCTAACATGACCACAACTCCACGCGCTTGTCTGGCGTGGGCGCATGCCGTCGCAACAGAACAACAGCATGCCGTGCGCCGACTGTTTAACATCGGCTCAGTCATTGGCGCGCATTTGATGTTTGTCCCGCTCAAACCGTACGCCCGCCGCATCTGCGCACGACATGCCGGCTGCTGTCCGCTCGGGCACATGCGTGCCACCATCGCAACGATCTAATCCCGAACTGCCATACCCCTTTCCCTCTTCCTCGGTGAAAAAAAAAAAAACCCGATAACTCAGCACTCTTCCCCCTGGTGGTGAGACGTATTGGCTGGACCGGGCACTTCCGCCCCCGGCTTTCCCCTCCGGGCGGGCCTTCTCGGAGCATGTGCGCATCCTGGCCGACATGTCGCCAAGCGAGGCACAGGCATATGTGGCCGGGCTGCCCGTCACTCAGGCCACGCCGGTGACCAGCGTCCCCGAGGACATGGCCCACTACCCCCGGGAGGCCTTCACCAACCCGGCATCCGGCTGGCTTCTGGACTCCTGGCTATTGGCAATTCCACGCACTGGCCAAGGTGCCCGGACGGTGGCCGAGGCCTTGCTGGCTTTCCTCCGGCAGAAGGTGGCCCTCGGTGCCGGGGCCGGGACCCTCTTCGACATGGCTGAGCCGGAGTTCCCGCAGCTCCTGCGCCGTCTTGGCCTCGGGCGCCGCGGATCGGCCGGCAGCCCCGAGGCCGGTCCGGTGGAATCCCTGGCCCGGCGTCTGGCCGACGGCCTGGTCTCCAGTGCGCGAGGTGAAAAGTCCGATCGCGAGGAAATGGCGGACACTGAGAGGGGACTGCTCTTTCCGGCAGGGCAGGCTGTCACGAATGTGGCCCTGACACAGGGATCCTGGCTCGGTGGCCGGGCCACGACCCAGCAATTCATCGCCCACTATGGCCAGCTGTCCGACCGGTGTGAGCGTCTGCTGGACATCCGTCCGGAGCAGCTGAACCAGCCGGAGCTTTTCATCATCCCGGAGCCCCCGTCGCAGTGACCATACGGGCCGCATAGAGGCCCATTTCCGCTGACCCTTTCATTTGTCATGGCTGGGGGAAGGGGGGCAAGGCACGGTGGGGATGGTCGAAAGTGTGTCGGTCGGCCATGGGTAGGAGTAGCCTCGGTGGACCTGGGCACGCCTGGCCGGGAGGGGCATAGGCGATGCGCTGGCGGCCCTGGGGGCATCTTCATGGCCATGCTGCATCTGGGCCCTCGGGCCACACAGGGATGCCCCATTGCTCTGGCTTTCACCCAGGGAGGGGGGGGGGGGGGGAAGAGCACACGTCTGTACTCCAGTCACCTGGGGGGGGCGGGGGGGGGGGGGGGGGGGGGGGGGGGGGGGGGGGGGGGGGGCATCGTTGTCTCGCCGGTAGGTGGGGGCGCACGGGAGGAAGGGATCGGCTCTGGGACAGACGCCTTCCCAAGCCCGGGCATGGGTGTGGACAACGCTGTTGCCGGCCAAATGGCGAATGGCCGGGAGGATGGTCAGGCACAGGGAAAAGACTCATGACCCGGGAGGGAGCGGATCGTCGACCTCTGCCCGGGGGCGAGGGGGAGATCTCATCGAGGAGTTCGGGCAACTGGATGGGGATGGGCCTGTTTTTTTTTTTGGAGCGGCGTGACAAGCGCCAAGCTCGGGGGAATACAGCCACCTCCCTGACAGGAGTCCGTGTGTGTATGTGTGTGTGAAGCTTTGGGACCCATTCTGTCGCCGGGCCGGAGCTCAATCTTACAGGCCCCGGAGGCCAGGGCCATCGGGCAGCGGGGATCTTGGAACAGGGCATCGCCGGGGACATCCCTGGCATGGTGGGCCCCGGCCGATGGGCCCCAAGGGCCATCAGAGGCAACGATTCAGAGGCAGGCAGGCAGGCCAACCGGAGGTGCTTGGAGTGCGATTCACCAGCCACGGAGGCAACCGCAAAATGAAGCCCCCGCAGAAGGAGTCCCATGCACATCGCGGCGGCGACCAGTCTGGCCGCCCGGTCGCGCGAAGGGGATGCTTGAGTAGGGCTCCAGGCAGCTGGCCGGGTGGCAAACAGACGAGGAGCAGGGCCTCAAGACCGATTGTGGACAATCGCCGGGGCCGCGCCAGGATCGGGATGCTGCCTGCCGACTGCGCGCCTCAGACCATGGGTAGGACGGAATGATGGAAGTGTGACAGTGTCACGTGCGCGCGGACCGGCTCGCCGCTCTACTGTGGGAGGCCGGTGCCGCCGGCCAGACTTACCGAGGTCGGGTTTAGGATCTGCTCAACCCTGCGCTGGAACGGCGCTGGCAGATCAGGGGCGCGAAGACGGGCACAAGGCAGGACTATTTATGCCGTGGAATATATGTGCGACTGGTGGTTCCGCTCCAAACGGGAAGACATGGGCTGCCCGGCTAAAAGCGACTCCAGAACTGTGCCCGCCTTCAGAAGGGGGGCGATTCGACGGACAAACACCAACCACCAGAAGCATGGGGGGAGATCCTAAATCCAGCTCGCCAGGCAGCGCGCACGCGAAGCCTCGGCCGGTGTGCGTGTGCGCCGCCAAGCGGTCGAGAGTGGCACTGGTAAGTTCTCGCGCCGGACGCGAGACCACCCTCTGGCCGGCCAGCCAGCCTTCCGCCAGGTGCTCAGCCTGGGTCGTTGGCCGGGAACCCGAGGGGCTGGGGCCACGCGTCTTGCTCTGGACGGATGGCCCGGGACGTGTGCGCAACTAGAGCTGTGCTTTTTTCTCCGGCCCTGGAGAGGAGCTCACGAAGGGTGTCCTGCTGCATGCACCGGCGGTGTTTGCCCCGACACCATGGCCAGGGTGCGCGACCTGCCCGCTAGGTTGAGGGCTGCCTGCCTCGCCTGGCCATGCGGATGCGTAGTCGGCCGCTGTCTGCTGCGTCGGCCCGCTCCCGCGCGCTTGTCGGCCGCGCGCCCGTCTGCGGCCTTTTTTTTTGGTCGGCCGAGAAAAAAGGCGAGTGCCGTCCAGCCGGGGGCGAAATGCGTGCTGCCGGGCGGGTCCCGCCGTCCCCCCCTCAGCACGCTCGCCTGGCCGCACTAGGCAGGGCCGCGCGGGGCGCAGGAGCGGGGCGAGTCCCGTTGGTGACCGGAGAGATACCCCTTTCCCGGGGCGATGTGAGGGGCGGGGGGGGGGGCGGTGACGAGGCCTGAAAGACGTAGTCCTGTGTTCTACTCGGGCCTTCACCGCGAGAAACCCGGCAGGGAGGGAGGGCGCCACACCCAGGACAGTCTACCCTCACACACGCACACACACGCGCGCGCGCGCGCGCTCGCGCGCGCCAAGGGGGACATTTTCGGGCTGCCCCCGCGACCGCCGGATGCCCCATCTGGCCGCCTCTTCTCCAGGGTTCCTCTCATCTCCCTTGTGGCCCTCCCCCTCCCGATCGCCTGCCTCGCCTCGCTTTCGCTCCTCGCTCCTTCTCCCTCTCTCCCTCCCCCCTCGCCTCTCCCCATCGCGCCGCTTGCCCTTTGCACCCGGCCCGCCTCCCCCTCTTTTCGTTCTCCTCCTTTTTGGCCCCCCCCTGCGCGCTCGACCTCCCGACCGCGCCCGCTTCCAGCGTCTCGCACACCTCCAACGTACGCCTTTCCTCCTGGTCTTGCTACTCTCGGGCGGCGTCTGTTGTGTTGTGGGCGGTGCCGCGTCGTCTTTGCACACGCGCGCGCGCGCACCCGCCCACCAACACCACGCACGCAGGCCAACCTGCACCGAAGATGCCCCGCGCGGTAGCCTCCCCCCCTCCTCCCGAGGGGCGCGCCTCGCTGTGGTCCCCCTCTCGCCCTGTGACGCCGATGTCTCACCGCCTTGTCCTCTCCCTTTCGCCCCCCCTCCCTGCTCCCCCCCCTCTCTCTCTCTCTCTGCCTATCTCTGCGCCCTTTCCCCCCTCGCAGCATGTCCAAGTTCTGGGGCGGTGGCTCCGACTCTTCGTCCACGGACTCCGACTCCGACTTCTCGTACTCCGACTCCGATCTCTCCTACTCCGATTCCGACACCGACTCCTCTTCCGATGAGTCTACCACCGGACCCTCCACCGTGCGTATGCTTCCGGCGCATGCATGCCACTCCGATGCGGCACCGATCGTCGTCCTGTGTTTTCCTGACCATTCTCCCCTTTGCGCCCTCTCTGCCTCCCTCCCTCCCTCCCTCCCCCCCCCCCCTGCTCCGCCGCCCCCTGCAGAACATCTTCGACCGCTACCTCAGCGACTCCGATGATGACTCTGATGATGACGGCCCTCGCGAGGTCCTGAGTGCCCGTGCCAAGACCGTGGCCGCCCTCAACGGCACTGTCTACAACCTGGAGGATGCCATGGATGATGACAACTGGGAGCAGGTTGCTGTCCGTGCGTGCTGATTCCTTCTTCCTATGCCCCGCCTCCCCCCCCTCTCTCTCTCCCCCCCCCCCCGACACCTGGCCCTGCCTCTCATGGCGCTCTCTTTCGCTTCTTTTTGTGTCTCTTCGCTTTTGGCATTTCCCCGCACCATGGCGCTGACCCTGCCTCCCCCCCCCGGCCCTTGTGACAGTCTTCGAGAAGCTCGTCCGCCTGATTGAGAAGTCCCCCTTCATCACCGAGTCTGTCATCACTGTGTACGTGTCCCTTTCCATTTGATGTGAATTCCCCCTTCAGCACCATCCTCATCCTCTCCCGTTCTCCCGTTCTCCCTCTCTCTCTCTCGTTCTCTCTTTCTCTCCATCTCACTCCCTCGCCCTCTTCCCTCCTTTCCCCTCCCCTCCCATACAGCCTCAATGAGCTTGAGAACAACATCAACGAGCTGTGGGAGGACAAGTCCAACCTCGACCACATGAGCGACCTGGCCAAGCGCGACTTCAACCTCGTCCGCCAGAAGCTCCGCCGCTATCTGGCCGACAACCGCGAGAGCCTGGCCTCCAGCGTCCAGGCCGATACTCTGCCCGACACCGGCGACGCGTCCGACGATGAGGAGGACAACTCCAAGAAGATTGAGCGCTTCATTGCCACCCGCGGTCGCAAGAACTTCCGCCCGGCCGAGGCCATCCTCGCTGTCAAGGCCCTCCTGGAGGAGGTTGATGCCGAGTCGGACCTCTTTGTCGCGGCCCTGGACTTCATCATGGCCTGCCACTTCGACCAGGTCCGCTCCAACATGGAGTTCCTGCCCATCGACAAGTGGCCTGTGTACGTGTCTCCTTCTTGGCCTTTTTTTTTCCTGCGCACGCCCTGGCGCGTCGTCGCCGTCGTCGCCGAGCAGCGGATCCACTCCTCCCTCCTCCTCCTGTTTGTTCCTCCGTGAGCTCACCCCCTCGCCAACCTGCGCCGTTTCCTCGCCCCCCCCCCGCTGCCTGCTGCTTCTGCCCTTTCTTCAGTGTCATCAAGGACCTCGATGCCTTCTTCGCCGTTCTCGAGTCCCACGCCGACTTCGCCAAGGTATGTTGGCCTTTGTTTGTGCCCCGGTCTCTCGTGTCTTTCTCCCTCTCCCTCTATCCTTCTCCCGTCGTCGATCTGGCATTTCTCAGGGCTAATTCCATATCCTTCCTCCTTCCCTCCTCCTCCCCTCCCTCCCCTCCCTCATGGGCCATGCTCAGCGCTTCGGCCCCAGCCTCGTCCGCTATGTCGAGCACCTGGACAACGAGTTCATGAAGAGCCTGCGCTTCGGTGACCCCCACTCCAACGCCTACCTCGAGCGCCTGAGCGAGGAGTCCGCCGTGTATGCCTTCATCCTGCGCGCCGAGCGTTTCTTCACCGAGCAGGGGATGAACGCCGAGCTGTGCCGCGTGTCGACCCTGCGCATTGAGCACCTGTACTGGCGCCCGCAGACCCTGGCCGACAGCCTGGAGGGCAAGGTCGGTGTTGACACCGTGGCCCTGATCAGCTCGCTGGCCACCCGGGTGTACAAGCATGGCGACCTGGTTGCCCGTGCGCGTGCCCTCCTCTGCCAGGTCTACAGCCTGGCTCTGTATGACCACTTCTACCAGGCGCGTGATCTGCTGCTGCAGTCGGCCCTGCAGAACAGCATCACCAATGCCGACCTGCGCGTGCAGGCCCTCTACAACCGGGCCCTGGTGCAGCTGGGTCTGTGTGCCTTCCGCCAGGGTCACCTGCTGGAGGCCCAGGATGCCCTGACCGACTTCGTCAACAACAAGTACCTGCGTGACCTGCTCACCCAGGGGTACACCCAGAGCCGTGCCAATGATTGCACTGCCCCGGAGAAGGAGGCCCGTCAGCCCTTCCACCTGCACCTGAGCACCGACCTGATTGAGTGTGTCTTCTCCGTGTGCAGCCTCATCCTGCAGGTGCCGCTGTCCCTGCGCCCGGACCGCCCGATGCGCATCAACCGCGTCCTCTCGCGCAACATGGACAACTTCGAGAAGCAGCTCCTGCGCGGCCCGCCGGAGAACACCCGCGAGTACATCTACTATGCCACTCGCGCCATGCTGGCCGGTGACTGGGTCAAGTGCCAGAACTACATCAACTCCATTCGCATCTGGCAGCTGATGCCGGATCACAAGCGCGTGCTGGAGATGATCGGCACTCGCATTCAGGAGGCCTGCCTCAAGTCCTATGTCCTGGCCAACTCGCAGTACTTCTCCAACATCAAGCTTTCTCACCTGACGGCCAAGTTCGATCTGGATGAGCGCGCTGTCATGGAGATCATCAGCAACATGATCATCAGCCGTGACCTGGATGGCTTCGTCGATGACCAGACCAAGGTCCTCTACATCAACCCCAAGGCCGAGACCAACCTCCAGCGCAAGTCCCTGCAGATGGTTGACCGCCTGACCTCCCTGGTGGAGGCCAACGAGAAGCTCTTCAACTATGACCAGTACATCATGTCGAAGCATGCGCCGCGTGCCAACCAGCGCCCGCGCCCGCGCCCGTCCGGTGCTGCTGGTGGCAAGCCGGCCGCCGCTGCCCCCGCCGCCGCCGCCGCCGCTGTTGCCTCCCAGTAAGGAGCTTCGTGATGCGTGTGTGTGTGTGTGTGTGGTATGCATGTAATGTGTGTGCGTGTGTGAAGAAGAAAGGCAAGCCCCGAGCGCGAGGGGGAGCAACAGAGAAGGGTGCTCTCTCCCACCGAGAGGAGACGACGAGGTTGCACGAGGACCTTCTCCCCCTCTCCTCCCCCCCCCGGGCGATATGTGGCCCAGTGGCGGGGAGGGGGGGGGGGGGGGGGCACGCGCATGGACGCATGTTGTCTCCGCAAGCATGCCACCTTCTCCTCCCCCCGGTGGTGTGTGTGCGTGTGCGTGTGTGCCTCGGCCTCGCTTGTTTTCTCCTCGCCCTTTTCGGCTGTGTCCTTCTCCTTGCCTCTCCCTCGCTGTCTGGGGTCCCGCTGCGTCTCTTTCGCGCGCACCTTGCCCGTTGTGTGCCCCTCCCTTCCACCATCCCCCTTTCCGGCCTTGTGTGAGTTCGCTCCCCCCCCCCCCTCTCTCCCTCTCCTTCCCTATATATCTCCCCTCCCTCCTGTGTTCTCTCTCTATCCGTTTCAGCATATTACAGACCAATATAAAGACAAAAGCGTCCTCGGTGTTTTTTTTCTCCCCCGCTTTTTCGAGGGGGCGGGGCGGGGGGGGGTGGCAGATGGTCGGCGCCTCGATGCAATGTCGTGCGGTGGCCTGCTCGGAGGTCCCAACGAAGGGACGAGCCGACGTGGGTGGTGATCCCAGGTGCCAGCGGAAAAGCAATCGGGAGGCCGACCGGGCGTCCGGCGCCTCGACAAAGCCGCCGGGAGGCCGCGGGGTGCGGGGCGTGGGGCGCGGGGGGCTTGATGACTGGCCGGGTCTTCTGAGTGTGAAGGCGGGCCTCGGGTGGGGGAGGGGGGACAAGGCGCGCGAGCGTGCTCGGCTAATGAACGCTGGCCTGTCTTGGCTGCCCGAGGGGGCGGGGGAGGGCCGCGGCCTGTGCTGGCCTCCGAAGGGTGTTCTTGAGGGGTTGCTATGTGCCGGGCACACACTGGGCCGGCTGGCGGCATGCCCCGCGCCAATATCAGTCGGCGCCCGGTGGCCCAAGTCTGGGCACACACTGAGCGCCGGCGTTCTTCGCTGGGTGCGGATCGTGTCGGGACCTCCCGGCCGGGTTGACCGAGCATGGGTATTATTGTTCGACAGGCTGCCAGGCCTGCGGGAAAGGGGGCCGGCTACTGGGCAGACCGGGATGGCCGGCTCTCGGTGTGGGGAGGCGGCGTGTGCGGGGCGGGCGGGCGGGGCGGGGGGGGGCGAGCATAGCCTCCCAGGGCACCGTCGGAAGGCCGCGGGGTGACAACGCCGACGCATGTTCGCATGCATGCCCGCTGCGCCGGAGGCGGGGAGGGGGGGGGGGGGGGGGCGCGTGCACACGCGCGTGTGCGTCTGATTTCTCGGTCACACTCGCCGGCGTGCATGTTCGCTGCCCCTTTTTGCCCTGAGCCAGGTCCTGCTTCTGTGACTCAGCTGCCCGGCTCGGCTGGCCGGGAAGCCAGGTGCCGCGGTTTCCCCGCATTCTCACGCCTCAAGGGTTGCACTTACGCATGCTCTTGTGGGCGGTCGGTTGGCCGGTGGGCGTGTCCGGAAGAATGGGCCTTGCTGCCCCCTGCGGGTTCTTGGCACCGCCCGAGTCCGAGCGAGAGGGTCTGCATGTGCGCGTGTTTGACGACTTGTCCAGAGACACAGACAGCCGGAGGGGGCGGCCGAGGCGCACGGCTGGCTCTTCTCCTGGCACGGATGTCCGGTTGGTGTCCGGCCGCCGGGGCACCTTTTGCCGAGTGGCCGGCTGCGCGGGGGGGAGGGGGGGGGGGCAGCAGGGGAGCCAGGACTGGGCAGCTCCTCTGATCCGATTTCCGTTGAGCGAGGCGGGATAAACAGAACCCGCCGCAGCGTGTCCCTACGAACCGGTGGCCCCGGCGAGGGGCCGCCCCTCGCCGCGGTACGCTCCGAGTCCGGGGCTTTTTTCCCAGCCCCCCCCACGGTGCCCGGTGCCAGGCGGCCGGAGTTCGGGAGCCTCCGACCGCGCAGACACATGGCCCGGCGGCGAGCTTCTTTTGGCGTGCCGCCACTTTGGGGCTGTCCCCCGCGCGCCGCCCGCCCCCCCCCCCCCCCCAGGCCCCCGGCGCTCGGATGCTCTCCCTGGGCCGCCAGTGGGCGCTCCATGGTCGATCGACCCCGGTTGGGCGTGGGAGAGGGGTCGGCCCGGCGTCCCCTTTTTGGTCCCCGCTCGCGGGGTGGTCACTTTTCGGTGGACTCCCCGGGGACTGCCCCTGGTGCATGGGGGGCCGGCTGCGTCGCGCCCCCGTGCACTGGCGCGAGAGGCCTGGCACAGGAGTGTCACAGGCCTCCCCCGGGCGCCCCTTTTGCCCCGGCACGGTTCCGGGGAGGGGGGGGGGGGGGTGGGGGCGCGGTGGCCGGAATGTCGCCAGGCATCGGGAAGCGGGGCGTATGTCCCCGTGGATGATGCTTGGGCGTTGACACTTTCCGAAGGGCCTCCAATCTCCCCCCAAAGCCTTGTGCCCATCTTTCGCCTTGGGGGCGGGCGGGGGGGTGCCCCGGGCGCCCCCCTCCCCCTGGGGAGGACATGCATTCCCCCCTGACGAAGCCCCGCGCGCTCCCGGCTGCGCCTTCCCTCTTCTGGGTAGATTGATCTGCCTCCCCCCCCCC